CTGTGGTTCTGGATGATGTCCGTTCCGTCTTTTAGTTGTATTTTTGAAGTGGTTGTTCGAGGCAGCAAAACTCTGGTGTTTACCTATGCCGCCATCTTGGTTTTTTCTCAATTTATCTTTTTAACAGTAAGATTTCTGTATCCGTATCCTTGATTAGAGGTACTATGAGATGTTGAGAATTCCAAAATGATTACAGTGTATTAGGGCTGAGTATTTGGGACAATGCAAATAAACAAAAATATAAATCATACCAACAAATATCTATCTATCTATCTATCTATCTATCTATCTATCTATCTATCTAAAAGGCTAATATACAAAGTGTCCCCTTGGGAGTTTGACCAGGAGCCTAGGAGTTCAATCGCTCGCTTGCTATGACATGCGCTGACCACCAGGGGGTGGCACAGAACGAAGGAAGGCCCTGGCCGGCAGCTGGAAGGAAGGCCCTGACCAGCAGCTGGAAGGCCCCGATCAGCCCTGATCACCGGCCAGACCTAGGGACTCTACCCATGCACAAATTTTGCGCACCAGGCCTCTAGTTTACTAATAAGCACATTAAAAAGTTATTCCTTCAAATTGCATATGTTTCACTGAATGAATTAAATACATGAAGGAATCAGAGAATATAATAAAATGCCAAATTATACATTGTTAGCAACTATTATACATTGTTAGAGTCTACCAGAGTGGGTTTTCCTAATCTGTACTCAACTTACCTCTGAGAAGGAGGAGACTTCTCTGTATTTCCAAAATTGTTTCTCGTTGAATTTGTTATTGTTGTGGTATAAGCAGGGGCCTGGAACTGTAGTTACTGGTGACCTTTAGCCTCCACCTATAGGAATGTGGAATTGAATGATTCTCTTGTCCCCACAGCAGAGTAAAAGAAATTCAGTGTACCAAGAACATGAGTAATTCAGATATATTTGAGGTTTTTAGATCCTAAATCCTCTGATGAGAAAATATAGTTTTATGTATTGAGTTTGGCTGTACTATTTTGAGTTAATTTTAGGGGTAACTTTAGAATCAATTTTAGAATTCCAGCTTCAAATGATAGTCCTTTGCTTAGTCATGAGGGATTAGGTGTAATGCCACATTATATTGAGAAGTCTAGGAACTGTTGCTATATATTAACCTTGCTAGGCACTGACATTTGAGAAGGAAGAAAAATACTCTACATTCCTAAAGGCTGAGCTGTTGCTCTGTTGCAAAATCTTATTTTCCTTGATTCCTGGTAATCTTCACTAGCCCTTCCCTTCAAGGAATCATCAAATGTGATGTACTTAAGGATGTATGGCACCCTGGCCCAGTAGTTCAGTTGGTTAGAGCATTGTCCTGATATGCCAAGGTTGTGAGTTTGATCCCCGGTAAGGGCACATGCAAGAATCAGCCACTCTCCCCCTCCCCCTTCCCCTCCTCCACCTCTTTCAAATCAATAATTTTTTTAAAAATTTAGAAAAAAATAATGTATGGCAATAAAATCTCCCAAAGACTAACATCTTTTATTGCTCTGTAATAAAAGGAATATGTGCGTGTCCTCTCTCTCTCTCTCTTTCTCTCTCTCTCTCTTTCTCATGCTCTCTCTTTCTGTAAATATCTAATAACTGAGAGTGCTCCTAAGTGACCAACAGGTGGGTAGCATATACCAAGTATATGCTGGACAAAGGGATGATTCATGTCCTGGGTGGGACAGAGCAGGACAGCGTGAGATTTCTACTCAGAATGGTTTGCAACTTGAAATTTAGGAATTGGTTATTTCTGAAATTTCCCATTTAATGTTTTCAGGCTGCATGTGACTGAAACTGTGGATAAAGGGGAACTGCTCAATAAAGATACTGCAGTTGGTGCATTTCAGAGAACAGATATATTACTGAGTGACCTAAATTGTGATTTTGGGACTCTACATACCAGGGGTCCTCAAACTACGGCCCGCGGGCCACATGCGGCCCGCCGAAAACATTTATCCGGCCCGCCGGATAAATGTCCTGGGTGGGACAGAGCAGGACAGCTCTTTGCTGAGGGAAAAAAAGAAAGGGTGTTGAATTTTGTCAAATTTTGTAATTTTTTTTGGTGCAATAGTATATGGGATTGTTTTTTTAATCTCCCTTTCTGTAAGTTCTATAGTCCCATTTGTTTATTTTCTCTTTAGTTTCCATTGCCCTCGGAGCTGTATCGGCTGCCTGTCCTGCTTAGCAGCCTACTCATCCCGGGCCCGCAGTGCGCATGTGTGGAATGTCTGAAGGACAGTGAACTGGCCCCCTGTTTAAAAAGTTTGAGGACCTCTGCTACATACGATTTTCAGAGCCCTTTTAGAAACACCTGTCTATGTTCCCTAGAAACACAGTCCGAGCATTTAGGTGGTTTTAACAGTGAATATCTGTCATTACTCACATTGTTGTGGTCAGGGGGATATCACAGCTGGTAATCTGAACTGAATAGTTGGGAAGAAACTCCAAAAAAGTGAGTAATATTTATGGTTTGCCAAAGCAACTTGCAGTTAAATTGCTTCCACAATAAATCTGCTCTTGCACCTTTGTCAGATGTTAACAAAAGTCATTTATGTGTTTTATTTCAGTGATGTCCTTGCCTTGCCCATTTTTAAGCAAGAAGAGTCAAGTCTGCCTCCTGATAATGAGAATAAAATCCTACCTTTTCAGTATGTGCTTTGTGCTGCCACCTCTCCAGCAGTGAAACTCCACGACGAAACCCTGACATATCTCAATCAAGGTTAGATGCGTCCTTGTTCGTTAGTATTACTGCAGACCTGCTGAATTCATGACATTTAATTAGGTACACTTTATGTAAACAGTGCACCTTTTGGCCCAGCCAGTGTGCTCAGTGGTTGAGCGTCCACCCATGAACCAGGAGGTTGAGGTTCGGTTCCTGGTCAGGCTACATGCCTGGAGTTTTGGGCTCAATGCCAAGTGGGGGGTTGAGAGGGGGAGACCGATTGGTGATTCTCTCTCCCTCTCCCTTCATCTCTCTGAAATCCATATAAACATTTTTTTAAAGTGCATCTTTCTAGTGTAGACTGTCAAAATCCAAGGCTTACTTCAGATATTTGAGTTTTAATGTCATGTGTGATATATATTAATAGCTTCTTCTGACTGTGTGCCCATTTTTAGTTTCCATCTCCCTCTTTTTTCTAATCCATGTTCCCTGAACATCCTCATTGGTTACTATTTGAGAAGAATTACCCCACTCAGCATTATTGTTTATCAGTTGTATGGCCTTGGACAAGGTGCATAAACTCTTTTTTTTTCTTTATTGATTAAAGTATTACATATGTGTCCTTATCTCCCCCATTGCTCCCCACCCCAACCCTGCTCGTGCCCTCACCCCCCTAGTGTCTGTGTCCATTGGTGATGCTTATATGCATGCATACAGATCCTTTAGTTGATCTCTCCCCCTTCCCCCACCTGCCCCTGCCTTTCCTCTGAGGTTTGACGGTCTGATGGATGCTTCTCTGTCTCTGGATCTGTTTTTGTTCATCAGTTTATGTTGTTCATTATATTCTACAAATGAGTGAGTTCATGTGATATTTAGCCTTCTCCAACTGACTTATTTCGCTTAGCATAATGCTCTTTGATCTCTCCCCACCTGCCCCTGCCTTTCCTCTGAGGTTTGACGGTCTGATGGATGCTTCTCTGTCTCTGGATCTGTTTATCTGTTTTAGTTTATGTTGTTCATTATATTCTACAAATGAGTGAGTTCATGTGATATTTAGCCTTCTCCAACTGACTTATTTCGCTTAGCATAATGCTCTCCAGGTCCATCCATGCTGTTGCAAATGGTAGGAGTTCCTTCCTTTTTACAGCAGCATAGTATTCCATTGTGTAGATGTACCACAGTTTTCTAATCCACTCGTCTGCTGATGGGCACTTAGGCTGTTTCCAAATCTTAGCTATTGTAAATTGTGCTACTATGAACGTAGGGGTGCATATATCCTTTCTGATTGGCGTTTCTGGTTTCTTGGGATATATTTCTAGTAGTGGGATCACTGGGTCAAATGGGAGTTCCATTTTTAGTTTTTTGAGGAAACTCCATACTGTGTTTCCACAGTGGCTGCACCAGTCTGCATTCCCACCAGCAGTGCACAAGGGTTCCTTTTTCTCCGTATCCTCACCAGCACTTGTCATTTGTTGATTTGTTGATGTTAGCCATTCTGACAGGTGTGAGATGGTACCTCATTGTCGTTGTGATTTGCATCTTTGAGCATGTTTTCATATTTCTCTTGGCCTTCTGTATGTCCTCTTTCGAAAAGTATCTATTTAGGTCTGTTTCCCATTTTTTGATTGAGCTGTTTATCTTCCTTTTGTTAAGTTGTATGAGTTCCCTGTAAATGTTGGAGAGTAAACCCTTATCGGAGATAACATTGGCAAATATGTTCTCCCATGCAGTGGGCTTTCTTGTTTTGCTGATGGTTTCTTTTGCTGTGCAGAAGCTTTTTATTTTGATGTAGTCCCATTTGTTTATTTTCTCTTTAGTTTCCATTGCCCTCGGAGCTGTATCCGTGAAAATACTGCTTCAGCATATGTCTGAGATTTTGCTGCCTGTGGATTCCTCTTAGATTTTTATGGTTTCCCGTCTTACGTTTAAGTCCTTTATCCATTTTGAGTTCATTTTTGTGTATGGTGTAAGTTGGTGGTCTAGTTTCATTTTTGGGGGGATATATCTGTCCAATTTTCCCAACACCATTTATGGAAGAGACTGTCTTGACTCCATTGTATGCTCTTGCCTCCTTTGTCAAATATTAATTGAGCATAGTGGTTTGGGTCGATTTCTGGGCTCTCTATTCTATTCCATTGGTCCATATGTCTGTTCTTGTGCCAGTACAAGGCAGTTTTGAGAACAGTGGCTTTGTAATATTTAGCTTGCTATCTGGTATTGAGATCCCTCCTACTTTGTTCTTCTTTCTCAGGATTGCTGCAGCTATTCGGGGTCTTTTTTTATTCCAGATGAATTTTTGGAGAGTTTGTTCTAGGTCTGTGAAATATGCCATTGGTATTTTAATGGGGAGTGCATTGAATCTATAGATTGCTTTG